ATGAAACACCCGTACCTTCACCAGTGCCCATTCTCCACCACCAAAAATCCCAGTATACCCCATCCCACACCCTCCCCCTGCCTGTGGGGCAGATGATTTCCACATTACTCTCTCTCTACTTTGATCACATTCACTATTTCGACACCAGACCCACCATTATTTGAGATTTTACCCCAACACTCAGATCTGCTGAAAAGGCAACAATAGACAATTTGTGTTCTATTGCTGGTTATGAATAACATATGATGTCGTGTGGCTGCAGTAGGGCCATGTGGTTTTGAAATTCTGAAATTTTAACACTTAAATCTGGAGGGATTTCTGCCAAAAGCCACTGGGTTTAGAGATCTGCTCCTGAGTCTCTGGGATCATGGCCGTTGAGCAGCTTGATGAGGAGCCAAAGAGGCCGTTCGTGGGCGATGACTTGGGTTCTCATTGGGGTGGGGAAGACAGGCCCGGCTCCACCTCCCCCTCCCATCCCGTGATACCCAACAAGTTTCGTCACTGCGGGTCCAAGCCTGACTGTCCAATGGCCTCTGGAGGATGACAGCCACCAAGTCGCCAAGAGGGAGCAGGCGGGGGGGACAGCACCCATTCCCCCCTGGGGTGGCCCGGCGACAGTAACCTACTGCGGGGTCTGGACACATTTCTGACAAAAGCCACTGGGTTTTGAGATTTGTTTCTGAGTCTCTGGGATCAAGGCCATTGAGCAGCTTGATGAGGAGCCAGAGAGGCCGTTTGTGGGCGATGACTTGGGGTCTCGTTAGGGTGGGGAGGACAGGCCCGGCTCCACCTCCCCCCCCCCCCCCCCATCCCATGAGACCCAACAAGTTTCGTCACTGCGGGCCTGAGCCTGACTGTCCAATGGCCTCTGGAGGATGACAGCCACCAAGTCGCAAAGAGGGAGCAGGTGGAGGGACAACACCCTTTCCTCCCTGGGGTAGCCCGGCGACAGTAATGTACTGTGGAGTCCGGATGCATTTCTGCCAAATGCCACTGGGTTTTGAGATTTGTTTCTGAGTCTCTGGGATCATGGCCATTAAGCAGCTTGATCAGGAGCCAGAGAGGCCATTTGTGGGCGATGACTTGGGGTCTCATTGGGGTGGGGAGGACAAGCCCGGCTCCACCCTCATCCCGTGAGGCCCTGTGTGTCTCGTCACTGGGGTCCCAAATATGACTGTCCAGTGGCCTCAGATGGATGGTGGCCACTGGGCCGCCAGGGGGAACAGGCCAAGGCACGAAACCTATTCCCACCTGGGTTGGCCCAGCACCGGTAGCCTACTGCAGAGACCAGACGCATTTCTACCTAAAGCCACTGGGTTCTGAGATTCGTTTCTGAGTCTCTGGGATCATGTCCATTAAGCAGTTCAATCAGGAACCAAAGAGGCCTTGCCTCCAATTATATAGCTGAGCCGGAGGTGGTTTGTGGGTGTGTTCCCCACATACCTAAGTTTTGGCCATTTACTTTCTTGGTAAACTTTGCCCCAAGATTTTGGGGTCTGACCAAAGGCACAGCAGCAATTTTGGGGTATCTGGAAGTCTGAAGGCGCCATGAGGCTGCTGATGCACTCGCCTCACAGGTACAATTGGACCTGCTGGCGGCACCATACCCCCCTCCCGCCTCTTTTTATACTTATTAGGTGTACAACAAATATTTGCCATGTTCCTGTGATAGGAGAGATCAGGTCTTTCGATTACAAAATACCTCTGAGTCAGGGAGGCCAGGCTGGAGTGGGGGTGGGGGTTTGGGGACACATCTGTCAGTGCTTTGGGACGAATCTGTCAGTGCTCAGGAGCTATTCCTGTCTCTATTCAGGAGTGGCCCCTGGTGATGCTCAGGGGATTGTTTATGGTGCTGGGAATTTAAATCATTGTTAATAGGAAACAAGTTAAATATCTTAACCCCTGTTCTGTCTTTATGGTTCCTGTTTTATTTTAGTTTTCAATGGCTTTAATTTATACATCACTATGTATTATATCCTTTCCACAAAAAAATTGGAATACATGACCTTTATTATTCAAGGCATTTCTCAGTACCTCCCATAGAACAGACTCAGTAAACACCACCCCCACCATGCTCCCGCAATCCCCCAGTTTCTCTGCCTTCACATCATCAACTCTATTAAGTAGTCTGGCTAATGGCTATTTTGCATTAATATTCTGAGCCATTAGAAATCTATTTTTCTGTTTCTTAATTTTTCATATCATTCTTAGTCAAGCATACTAAAGAGAGAAAATAAGTTTGTTTGGTCAAGCTGTTAGTGTAAATGAATGTGGTCATTTGGTACTGTGAAGACTCTGCCATTACTTAATGGATGCTTACACTAATGCAAACAATACTTTTCAAGAAGAAAAACACTGGTGAGAAGCCTGTCAGCTAGGCAAAATGAATAAAGTATATTTCAACTACACAGTTCACATAATGTAATTTTCTAGTGCTAGAAATGTTTGCTTCTCTATGGTTCTCCTGTTGTGGAGAAAATTTTCTGATGTCAGTAAGCTCTTAAATGACACTGAATTGAGTAACACTTACTGTAGAGCTCACCATGTTGCCTTTCTTACATTCTTGGCTCATATCTAGCATGAAAATTTGTCGAGGGTGGTCGAGGAAGTCAGTCACTTTTGCTGAAACTCCCGTGGTTATCACACAAAAGCAGAAAATGGAATCAGCTGGAGTGCTCCTTAATTAACTCCCAAAACTGGCAGTAAAGATTAGTGAAATGCCCTGAGCGCTGACTTAAATGCTGCAGTACGAAATTGCGACCTTTATTGAAGCACTGAGGACTGAAGACATTGATGTAGGATGTTTGGATAGCTGCATAAAATGAGAGCTTTATTCTCACTGCAGTGTGCTTACGGAGGTACATTTCTTCCAAAGACAACTGCGTGCTAGTTGTTTTTAAAAGATACAATGCAAATTGGTTGAAGACATATCTGGGTTTGGAGACCTGTTCAACTCCATACCAAGGAGGGTTAATCACAGAGAAGAACCGCAGGGTCAAAGAGATTGTCAAACATTTGCACTTCAGCTGCTTGTGATCCAGACTGCAGCATAGCAAATGCAAATGTTACCTGATCATTTATTTGAAAAAGTGATCTAGCTTCAGAGAATCAATTCATTTAAAAAAATTCTGAATGTTCTAGGTGACTCAATTATAAAGAATTTCTTTATTTTCAGTCATTCTTCATCTGGTCTACCCATTATGACAGAAATGGAAAGAAGAACTAAGGTGAAGAAAATTAGAAAGTCATGTAGATTATTTCACTCAGATTGTGGAACAGGTTTGACATTTGTCCTACTCTAATTGTGCTACTTTTAGTGATTAAAAATTGCCACTTTCAGAAGCAACACTGTTTTCTATTGGTTAATGTTGGATCATTCTTTTCTATGTTCTATATATATTATTTATATATTCTAGATGTATTCTTTTATACTTCTATATATAATAATCACCTCATTAAGTTATATCAGGGGAGTTATTAATAATTTAATCCCCTCAGTAAGTTTTAGGATTTATTTTAGCCTACTGTCATCCCTTTGTTCATTGATTTGCTTGAGCAGGTACCAGTAATGTCTCCGTTACTGTTTTTGGCATTTTGAATATGCCATGGGTAGCTTGCCAGGCTCTGCCATGCAGGCAGGATACTCTCAGTAGCTTGCTGGAATCTCTGAGAGGGACGGAGAAATCAAATCTGGGTCGGCTGCGCACAAGGCAAACGCCCTACCCCTTGTTCTATTGCTCCAGCCCAATGATGAAATATATACTTTAAATATATAAATATACATGTACATATACAGTAACAACAAAGTCTCCAATGGAGACGTTACTGGGCCTGCTCGAGCAAATCGATTAACAACGAGAGGACAGTGATTAAGTGATATATGTATAAATATACATTAAATAATATAGACATTAAATATGAGGTAAATAGACCAACATTTAGGGCATATATCCAATACTTTATCACTGTGATTTTGAGTTTTTTTAAAATTTTTTTGCTTTTGGGGTCACACCCAGCGATGCTCAGGGGTTACTCCTGGCTCTGTACTCAGGAATTACTCCTGGCAGTGCTGGGGGACCATATGGGACACCAGGGATCAAACATGGGTCAGGCACGTTCAAAGCAAATGCCCTATCCACTGTAGATAAATCCCTATCGCTGTGAATTTTCATTTTTATACTTGGTTTTTCTTTTGGCGCCACAACTAGTGATGCCCCTGCCAGAAAAAAAGGAATTGCAAATGTCATGCAGCAATGTACATTGTTCCACTGTCATTTCAACCTAGTCAGGACCACAGACAGATTTTACAGGAAGACAGGAATGTGGAAAGAACCAAACATTTGGGACCTAAGCCTGACTATGTCTTGATCAGCTTTGAAAATTCAGGCCAATCAGTTGGTCTCTCTAATGCCCAATCTTAACAAACATAGAGGACCAGAGATATAGTACTGGGTGCTAAGATGCATGCTTTGGTGCTGCCGACACCCATCATGATACCTCAAGGCCCAAACAACAAAGCATCCTTGGGTCTTTATTGAATGGTCAGTCTGGTTGGTTGATAATTGCCAGAGGGGGCCTGTAGGCTCCCCTGAACACTGTTTGTGAAACCCCCATCACCAAATAACAAACAAATAAAAACAAAAAACAAAACCAAATCAGAGAAAATGATAACACCTTCCATTCATACAACTATGAAGCTATATTTATGTTAAAATGTCCAGGACCTAGCAAATAAAGTTTTTTTTTCTGTACATTTTCCCCCTATGTTTATCCCAAAGGGATAGATATTTTTCTCAACCAAAAATACTCCATAAAACACAAACACCTTGGAAAGATAATTATTAATTATATTTTAAGTTAAAATTTTATCTTTAAACTTGAATTATCTAGGTAGTAGATAAAACATTTAATTCTTTACTACATTTTTTTTTTCTGTCTAGCAGGCAATGCCTGTTGTTAGGGCTAAGTAGTAGAGGGAAAATTTTAAAATTCCTACTTACCATCGTCTTTGTCAGGTACAATAGTAATTTGTGCTCCTGGGAACTCGGATCCAATTCTACCACCCATGGGCATACTCAGAAGGACCTGGAATGTTTCTTCCTCTTCATACAAGGAGTCATCAATCACGACAATCCTGCACATTTTCTCACGCTCCTCTCGGTCAAAGCGAATGATGCTAGTGTGGTCCTCGGGCCTGGAGATGTAATCAGAGTAGGACAGTACCGAAGTTGGCACTGTTCCGCTGGCTGTTCCTGGAGGGAGAATCCAAAAGGAGTTTCTGTAGAACATGCCACAAAGGGCATTTCCAGAAACAATTACTTGCATTCTGCTTTATCATTTATTTATTTATTTAGGCTTTTGGGGATCACATGCTGCTCAGGTGTTATTCTTCACTCTGCACTCAGGAGTCACTCCAAACAGTGTATGGGGGACCATATGGAATGCGGGGGATTGAACCTGGGTTGGCTGCACTTAAGGTAAATGCCCTACCTGCTGTACTATCACTCAAGTTCCAGCATATGTAGCATTCTCAAAGGCTAATGCCTTATCCAATAGTAAACTGGGGGATATTTAGCATTCTAATGGTCAGTTAGTGTCCATGAACACCTCTGGCAAAGACAAAACACCATCACAATGTCCTAGCATCAAGAGTGAACTTCATAATGATGTCAAACATAGGGCAGAGGTTCCATCTCAAGGATCTACTCCTCTAGTTCCTGCCAGTGGTCTTTTAGATCAATGCACTATTATCAAATCATAGCTCCTACTTTAGATGCTTACTGTGAGCAGGAAGAATGCTGACTGGCATGAGGGACAGAACTCAAGTGGTAGTACACATGTCGAGCATGTGCAAGGCCCTGAGTTTGATCCATGGTTCTCCTAAACACTGTCAGGTATAGTTTTGAAGGCCTTCAAGAAGTACATATAAAAAGTGTCGAATAAAGTAACAAAATAGGAGATTAATACCCAAGAATAGCTGAGATCAGTACCAGGAAGATTACTTCATGGCTTAGAGGCCAGCCGGGCATTCTAGGGGAAAGGGCAGCTCAGATAGAGAAGGGAGCACCAAATAAAGGGTGTTTGGAGGATCCTCCCAGGAGGGGAGATGCATGTCGAAAGTAGACTATGGACTGAACATGTTTGCCACTCAATGCCTCTTTTGCAGACCACAACACCCAAAAGGAGAGAGAGAACACAGGGGATTGCCCTGCCACAGAGTCAGGGGGAGATGGGGGGATGCGTATGGGGGGGATATTATCCATGGTGGTGGAAAATGGGCACTGGTGGAGGGATGGGTATTTGATCATTGTATAATCGAAACCCAAGCACAAAAATTTGTAAGTCTACAACTGTACCTTGTGGTGTTTCACTAATAATATATATATATATATATATATATATATATATATATAGTGTCAAGCCCTGTACTGCCTTATGAATCTTCTCCACTCGACTGGGTTTTACACATTTGCTAGGTTAAACCACTTACTTTGGAAACTGGAGCCCAAGGCTGATTCTACAGTATGCGATTTTAATCACTTTTATCAACTACTTTCAATTATTATACACAAATGGAAAGTTTAACAAGTGTCTGCCGATATCAATATTTGGATGTCTTTCACTTGAAATTTTTAGAAAGTATATCTGATTTCTAGAAAGATGTTAATTAATTATAGTTTTGGGACCACACTTAGTGCTTAGGGATTACTCCTGGATCTGCACTCAGGAATTACTCCTGACAGTGCTTGGAAAACCATTTGTGATACAGGAGATCGAACCTGGGTTGGTTGCATGCAAGGCAAGCACCCTACCTGCTGTGCAATCTCTCTGGCTAAGATGTTTATTGTGTTAATGAGAATTGTACATTAACTTTAACTGGTGTAATACAAAATCAACTTTCAGAGGAAGCTAAATCATTTTATATGTGGTTGACATGACTTTCAAAGAAGTTAGAGGGCTAGAATGATGGGCAGGGAGCAGGAGCATGTGTTTTACATGCAGAAGCCCTGGGTACAATTCTCTGAGAGATTAGTTTCATTTCCTAGTGTATAAATTTCTTTGCCTTGAAATTTTGTATTGTTTTTTTGATTTTGCATCACACCCAACAATGCTCAGTGGTTGCTTTTGGCTGTGCACTCAGGAATTACTCCTGGTGGAGCTCAAGGGACCTTATGGAATGCCGGGGATCGATCTAACCCCAGGTAAGGCACATGCAAGGCAAGCTCCTTACCCACTGTACTATCGATCTTAGCCCCAGTTTTTTTTTAAAACATCTCCCTAGATAAGGGACCACCAAGTAAAAGGTGCTTGGAGGGCTGGCTTGGGGTGGCAGATGCGTGCTGAAAATAGACTATAGACCAAACATGATGGCCACTCAATACTTCTACTGCAAACCACAACACCCAAAATGAAAGAGCAAGAGGGTATGCCCTGCCACAGAAGCGGGGCAGGATGGGGGGGATGAGGTGGGAGTGGGGGGAGGCACACTGGGATCATTGGTGGTGGAGAATGGGCACTGGTGGAAGGATGGGTACTCGAACATTGTATGACTGAAACATAACCACAAGAGTTTGTAAGTCTGTAACTGCATCTCATGGGGATCCATTACAAAAATAAATTAAAAAAATTTAAAAATAATTTAAAAATAATAATACAGCTATGTTTTAAAGGGGCAAAAGTCTGAAAAAAGTGATATATTTACTGACATCAAATATAAATATTTGCTGTAAATATCACCAAAACAACAACAACAACAACAAAAACCCCATCTCCCTTCGACTTGAGCAGGCTTGGAAGGACAGGGGAACTTTTAATTCCTTACAGTCCAGAAAGTCTTGAGAATTAGAAAAAGTAACCAAGTGAATCTGAAATCTTTTTTTGAGACCTGGCAGGGAAGTCTTACAAGCTCTCTCAGAAGAACCTCCAGATCCCTAGTGAAGGAAGATGTCTTGGAGAAAGAAGACTAATTTTTTTTGAAATTCATAGAAACAAAGTATATTCCTCATGTGATAATGCCATGGCTACAGCATACTAGAGTGGCTTATTCCTATCCCTAGGCAAACATTTCAATTGGTTCTACAGGGAGGGAGCTACCTTGCTGCGTGTAACAGAGCACCATCAACTCCCGGCTCACATCGCCACTCCTCCTGATGGGGATGAAGAGCTCACCCACATCTTCTTCCACGGAGTATTCAGACTGGGGGATGAAGACAGTGGATTCTAAGAAGAAAACACAAACATCACCATGATTATTTCTACCGGAGCTGAATCTTCTTCAAATTAAAACAGCTCCAATGATAAATTTACCCCTTTTGCATAGTCTTGCAGAATTGCGTAGTCTTCATACCCAACACGAAGTATGGCATGGTGTAGGAGGAGGTATCAAGCATGCAGGTTTTTGTAGCAATGGGTACTAAATTCTTTATCTTTTTTAATTGTGTGAAGTTTTGTGATTTACAATACTGTGAATGATGATTTTGCATGCACATAATTGCAGCACTGCACCCATCACCGATGCATATACCTTTCTCTCCCAATGACCTCAATGCCCATCTTTCAACTCCCCTCACTGCAAGTCAATTGAGTAAATCAGTTCTTCTGAGTGTTGTCATTGGACCACTGAATACTTTTCTTTTTTCAATTATTTTTAATTGAATGGCTGTGAGATACACAGTTACAAAGTTATTCATGATTGGGTTTCAATCATAAATGTTCCAACACCTGTCACTCCACCAGTGTACATTTCCCACCATCAATATAATAATTACAATAACCAATATAACCAATATCCCTGATATCCCCATTTTCTCTCCTGCACCCCCCACTTGCCTCTATGACTGATATTTTCTTCTCTCTCTCTCTCTCTCTCCTTTCTTCCCCTTTGGTTTGTAATATGTTACTGAAAGGCTATCATATATATATATATATATATATATATATATATATATATATCACTTTACCTTCTTTCATTACCCAATTCCTGTCCATACTGATCATTTTCAATTAATTTCCAATTACCATTGTTCTAGTGGTCCCTTCTCTATCCTAACTGCACTCACCACCCAACTGAGGAAAGCTTCTAATCATGGACACTGGTCCAGGCCCTCAATTCTCTTGTCTTTAGGTATTATTCTCAAACTATTTTTTTATACCCCATAAATGGGGCCACTGAATTCTTAATGTAGAAATAAAACCCAATAATGCTGTTAGCTCTAGGAATCGCTTTTTTTTTTCTTCTCAACTAATACACAAAACTGGCACTCTTCTTTAAAATCCAAGTTTGTTTGCCTGGTACAAGTCACTCTTCAACAGGAAGGCTGGTTTCAGAGGGAGAAGAGACTTGGAATCATTTCATTCCATTGCTTACGGACCAGATAAATCAGTCTCCTGGGGTTTGATAGCCTGAGTCAGGATTAAAATTTGTAATATCTACTCTATCCTTTTTGTGCCCTAAATTTACTCTTTTTAAAATGGCTACTAATTTACTGTTAGAAAAGATGAAGTCATGAAATTTATATACAAGTGGTACTACATGGAAAGTATCATGTTAAGTGAAATGACTCAGAAAGAAAGGGATAGACATAGAAAGATTGCATTCATCTGGGGAACATAAAGTAACAAAATAGGAGACTAACACCCAAGAATGACCGAGATTAGTACCAGGAATTTTACACCTGGCTTCATACTCATGGCTTGGAGGCCAACCACACATGCTAGGGGAAAAGGGAGCTCAGATAGAGAAGGGAACACCAAATAAAGGGCGTTGGAAGGATTCTCCCAGGTTGGGAGAAGCATGTTGAAAGTAGACTATAGACCAAACATGATTGTCACCCATTGCCTCTTTTGCAAACCACAACACCCAATAAGAGAGAGAGAACAAAAGGGAATGCCCTGCCACAGAGGCAGGGTGGGATGGGGGTATGGGGGGTGGGAGGGATACTGGGATCAGTGGTGGTGGAAAATGGGCACTGGTGGAGGGATGGGTATTTGATCATTGTATAATTGAAACCCAAGCACAAAAAAATGTAAGTCTACAACTATACCTCATGATGTCTCACTAATAAAAATAAATAAATAAATAAAATGGCTACTTATTTAAAGTAAAATATATAAATGCTATTCTAAACATGTTACCTTAGCCACAATAAAAATCATTTCGAAAATAAATGATTTAACCCTTTATACCCCATATGGTTCCCCGAGCTCTATCAGGAGTGATCCCTGAGCATAGAGCCAGGATTAAGTTCTGAGCACAGCTGAGTGTGGTCCTCCTACCCAAAAACTATAATTTCTGTATGTCAGTGGCTGCCTCCTGCCACTTGAGGAATAACAACAGAGCATATAACATCATATTTACACGATATCCCAGTCCTCAGTGATTGCTTTTTAAGGGCATTGAAAAACATGTTAAATAACATAAAATATTGACAAATACAATACAAGGCAAAACTATGTTTAATTCGATAAATATTTAGTGTGATAATTTGACATGATACCCCTGCCTCCCCCCCCCCCCCCACACACACACACACAAATACACACACGGGTAACTCTGGATTCTGACTGGGAGTCTGTCTCAGAGAAAGTCTCTCTCACTACACACTGAAAACACTTCATGGCTGCTTCTAGAACATAAAGCCTATAGCTTCTGATGACCATAAAAAGCTGAGGGAGAGGGGTCAGGCCCTTGAGGCTCCATCCCATCTTCTCTACCTGCCCTGTGTCCCAGGAGCTGCCAGTCACGAACCACATCAAAGCTCTCCTTTTGCTCATACTTCTGGTCAGGACAGCCAGAGTAACAGGAACGGAAGCTGAGGGAGGACAGCACTCATTCTCTGGGATTTCCACTGGGGCCCAGGGCTGAATATATCCCCAGGGGAAGGATAGACGCCTGCTGGGGGCTCATTCACTGACTAGGCTCTGCTAGCTAAGCTCTTCTCCTTCAGGCCAGGAGATCATCCTGGTGCTGCTTTGACTGGTGCTGGAACACCCCTCTTCCAATCCCTACTCCTATCTCTGTACATTATTTTTAAATTGTTCATTTTTAGTGTGTAATGTGTTTTCTCCCAGGACTCTGACTGATATACCAATTAAGAAAAGTGTCACCACTAAAAAAAAAAAAATCTGTGGATTTTATGACTTTCATTCACCAGATATTGATGGAGTGACTTTCGCTTGCTAGACATTGGAAATATGGAAGTATCAAAATCCCAGACCTCAAGGAATTTTCACTCTAGCTGCCAGTTAGGGATACACACACACACACACACACACACACGCACACACACAAGAAAATGTCAAGCAAAACCACAAGGGGGGTAAGGGGGGAGGGCAGTTAGGTTAGAGAAATGACTACTATGACAATTATGACAATGATAATTGGAAATGATCACTCTGGACAAGAACTGAGTGCTGAAAGGAGTTAAAGAAACAAACCTGATAACCAATTAATACCTGTATTGCAAACTATAAAGTGCAGAAGGGGGTGGGATGGAGAGGGTGGGGGGAGAGGGGAGGGAGGGAGGGGCAGGAGAGAGAGAGAGAGAGAGAGAGAGAGAGAGAGACAAACAGACAGACAGAAAGACAGACAGAGACAGACAGAGACAGACAGAGACAGACAGGCAGACAGAGAGACAGAGAGAGACGGGGTAGGGGGAGAAGTGTCCACCACGGAGGCAGGTTAGGGCTGGGGGGCAGTTGTTGACAGGACAGAAACAGGGATAATGGGGGTGAGAAATATGCACTGGTGAATGGATGGGTATTGGAACATTGTATGATTGAAACCCAATCATGAACAACTTTGTAACTGTGTCTCACAGTGACTGAACTAAAATATAAAGAAAAGAAAAAATCAAGGAGTAAGTGAAATGAGCAAAGCATAGCCTGCTGAGGGTTTAGGTAAGATTGGGACAGAGTAAGTGTCAGGGGTTGTGGAAATCTGTGTGAAGCAGTGAAGTATATTTGAAAGACTTGACCTATTATTTTAGCCCAGAGCACCAGGTGGTGCCCATGGTAACTTGAGAAAGAGAATTCTAGGAAAGTTATGAGCAATTCTAGAAAGAAAAGAGCCTTAGGCCAGGTTTAAAGGGATCAGTGGGAGGCCAAAGTGATGAATAAACAGGGCAGGGAGGAGGAGGTGAGATAAAGAAGCAGTGACTGGAGCTGGAGTGATAACACAGCGGGTAGAGGGCTTGCCTTGCACGCGGCCAACCTGGGTTTGATTCCCAGCATCCCATATGACCCCCCAAGCACTTCCAGGAGTAATTCCTGAGTGCAGAGCCAGGAGTAATCCCTGAGCATCGCTGGGTGTGACCCAAAAAGCAAATGTGGCTGGGGTGAATGATCAAGGTTGGTGATCATGGGGAGAGGAGGCAAGACTATGGGAATCAACTTTTATTTCCAACTAGCATGTGAAAATAAACAAAGCCCACCCAGTGGGATGAAAAACTTGCAAAAGCTATTTATTTAGAATTTGCATTAGAGAGTCAGAGTCAGCCACCAGAACTCATATTTGGCAGAGACTCAAAGGCAGGCAGAGGAGTGGGAAGGAGCTGCAGTATGAAAAGGGAGGATGGTTTCCAGGGGATCTTAGCTGGAGGGGGCTGGCAGGGGGCAACTCTCTAGGACTAAGAAGAAAGTATCCTCTAGGGCTGTTAGGGGAGGGGCTACTTGGGCTACTTGGCTTTCCTCTGACTGGTCTTAAGTTGCAAGCTTAATAAGTGAGGGAGCTGTCAATGAATGACTGAATCCTGCCCCTTTGGGGCCTGTTGCTACAAAACCTGGTTTCCCAGCAACTATAGATTTTGAGTTAGGGTTGAACGTTTTTTTGGGGAAAGGTGTGGATGAACAACTGGTAGTGCAAGCCAGGGCTTGCTCCTGGCTCTGTACTCAGGGATCACTACTGATGCAATCAGGGAACCATATGGAGAGTCAGAGAAGGAACCCGGGTCATCCACGTGCAAGACAATAACCCTACCCACTTTACTATGTCTCCATCCCGTAGGGTTATATTTTAATGTGTAGTCTGACCACTGTTGACTTGCATGTTCAATCTTTCAACCTGAAAACATGAAAGGTTTTGAATACTAGGTTTTTCAGAAGCTGATTTATTTAAAAAAAATTTTTTTATTAGTGAAACAGTACAGTTATAGACTTATACATTTTTGTGCTTGGGTTTCAGTTATACAATGATCAAGTACCCATCCCTCCACCAGTGCCCA